TCTGGTAACTGTCCAGTTTCGAAAAAGAGACGAGCAAACCTGACTACTGAATCCCCTACGGTCTCCCAGCATCTTTGATAAAATATCGGTTTAAAGCCATCAGGTCCTTGTGCCTTAAAACTGCCCATGGCTCTAATCGCTTTCTCCACATCGTCTGCAGAAAATGCTCTATTTAGAATAGTGTGATCTTGATTGGAGAGACTCACAAAACCTCTCGCCGGCAAGCCCTGCACTTCAGTATCAACCCCTTCTAGCGAATATAACTTCTTAAAATAAGTCACCGCGAGTTCCTCCAGCTCAAGAGTATCCGAGACCCAATGATTATCATCCTTTTTCAGCATATCCACTCTGTTGCGCCTCCTTCTGATAATTGTTGACGTATGAAAAAATTTCGTATTTCTTTCTCCATAGACAATCCACTTCTCCCGCGACTTTTGGAACCAGATAAGCTCCTCTTGTTCGAGAACTGTCTCAAATTCTTTAAGTAATTATTCTTCTTTTACCAACAGCTCATTAGTTTGATTCTGCTCAATATTCTTCTGGATTTCTGTAATCTCCATAACCAACCTCTCCTTTTTTTTCTGAACACACCCAAACACTTCTCTGTTCCACTTTCGCAGCTTTATCCCAAATCTCATTAAAGCTTCTCTGGTGTCAATCTCTCGATCCCAAGAAGCTGTTAAGATATCTTGAAAATCCCTGTGCTTCAGCCAAGCCGCTTCAAATCTAAAAGGGCGTCTACACGCATTACCTTGAGTCTCCGGTGTAAGCTGTATATACAACGGAGCATGGTCCGAGGCCAAGAATGGCAGATGTGAAACTCTTGCCTCCTGCCACTTGAGTCAAGCATGAGCGCAGCACAGTACTCTATCTAACCTCTTAGCAACAAAGGTGCTCTCTGTTTTCCCGCGCTTCCATGTGAACTGATTCCCATTGAAACCCATATCAATGAGTGACATATCATTAATCCAATCACCAAAAGTTAAAGAATCTTCAGACAATCTCCCATTCCCACCACTTCTTTCATCCAATCTCACAATCGTATTAAAGTCCCCACCGATAAAAACAGAACCAGCCACATTGTGAATTACCTCCCCCAATTCCGCCCATAAGCCTCTCCGACGACTCGGTGTGGGCGCCGCATACACAACGATCAAGTTAATTACCTCCGTCTCATCCCCCACGCGAGCATAGATAAACTGATCTGTTGACTTGACCACCTCAACCTCTCCTATCTCCGATCTCCACAGTAACCACAAGCCTCCCCTTTGCCCACACGCATCCACTCTAAAAGAATTTTCGAAACCCAAGCCTTGAAAAATTCGACCTGCAGCCGCTCCACCAGCATGAGTTTCAAAGACAGCAAGAATGTCTGTGCTGAATTTTTTCACCAAATATCTTATCGATCTTCGAAACTGAGGTTTATTTGCCCCCCGGCAATTCCAAAGAATGCACTTCATCAAAAAATTATAAACCACTACTAGAATCACCGGGGCAAATTGTTATGCCTCCATACCCTTTGAGTCTTCTCCCACCTGGCCCCTACACTCCTCCAATGCGTCGAAAGGTGGAGTCTCCGCCAATTGTACCTGATTAAATCTCTGCTCACCTGCGTACTCTCGGTTCTTCTCATTTTCCTCCAACTCTCCATCTCCGGCGAAAGCACCACCTGGTCTGCCAACACTTTTCTTCTCAATTCGCAATCTCTTGCCACTCTCCGATAATTCAATCTCTCCTCTTGCTGGGCCATAAACAATCCCCCGTGTAGGCCCAACAGGTTTCAGTTTGGGCTTTTGAAATTTTTGATTCCTCACGTTACTCGCTTTCTTTTCTTTAGGGCCCAGTCGAAGTACCGATTGATTCCCTTGTTTCTCCGTCGCAGCAAAAGGCATGATCTTCTTAGTTGCACCAAACGATGGAGCCTTCCCATTCACTTTACTCAGCTTTCCTGAGTTTAAGTTCATAGTATTCTCATTTTCTTTATTCTCATCCGCTCTCACAGCATCCTCCACACGTGTTTCCTTAGCACCATCTTCCTCCAAACTCCCAAACCTATTTGATACTCTTACTTCCTCCACCTTACTACCATTACCAACTTCCTTTGTTTTACCACCAGTCATGCTTCTTCCATCCTTGTTATTCACAGAACACTCTGCATGTCTTGGTTGCTCGGTCCTTCTCTTCGCATGCCTGACTTGTGTAAATTCTGCATCCATTCCTATGGTCTCAGTATTCTCATGATTCTCAATCACGTGAATAGGCGTAGGGGCAGGTGCTCTCTCCACTACATTCCTTGGACATGCGTGAACGAGGTGTCCATACATTCCACATGCCGAACATATGGCTGAAATTCCTTCATAAGAAACGTAATACCTCTCACCATTTATCATGACCGATCCCTTCAATGGCTTGTTGAGGTTTACTTCCACACAAACTCTCGCAAATCTCGCTCGTTCAAACTTCAAAGTTGTTCCATCTACCTTGATCGGACGCCCTAGTCCCTTAGCTATACCCATCAGTATTGTCTTATGATAGAAATTAACTGGGATATGCGATAAACGGATCCAGACCGGAGTTGTCACTATTTCGTCTTTCAGCGGGTCAAACTCCGGAGTCCATGCTTGCACCATAAGGTAACTACCAAAGGCTCTCCATGGACCACCTGATAATGCAGCCATATACTCTTCTTCCAACTCAAAGCGTACCATAAAGAAGTTTCTAGGGAGATCCATGACAAACATCGACCCTCTTGGCTTCCATAATTCTCGCAGTTTTCTGCTTAGATTCGAGAACGGAACATTCCTCCCCAAAACCCTAACGATCATACAACATTTCCACAAGCTATTCATAGCCATCAACACTTCATCTCCTATCGTTATCACCGGCTCGCCGTCCTCACCATTGGGAAACTCCAATCTCAATCTCGCCTCCACAAACTCTTCTCCCACAGCTTCCTCCGGAACAGGCATTCCTCCCGTATTACCTCCGATTACTTTCTTCACCCACGAACCAGGAGCGTCCGGAGGGTCTCCCGGTGGCCTTTCCTTCTCCCCGATATCCTCCATAGTAGCATCTCTTCCTTCCTCACCCGAAATCGCAAGCTCACCTCCCAAAACCCTAGCCGTCATTAAAAGAATAACACTTTTCTCAAGCAAAATCCAATAGAAAGAGAGAAGGAATCTGAGATTAAAGTAGAGTAGTGGAAAACTGTATACGCATGTTCGATAAGGGATAAAGAATGCCAATTATAGTTTAGAATTATGTTCGTGAATCCATATTAATCGAAGTATTGTAAAGTAGAGCAAGGGAAATCGGCCATGGTTTGAATATGATTTGTAAAGTGTATCAAGTATCGGTTAACCAAACAATAGTTTAATGGTTGATCGGTTAATTAAAGTATATAGGTCATAATCAGTTTTAAATATGAAGCACATGTATTTATAGTCACAACGTAATGAATAGGTCGAACAAAATAATATGCCATGGTAGAATTCAAATAGGACCCTAAATTAATAGATTAGAAATTCAAACGCGGAAATTGTTTATGATTAAAAATTTATATAATTGGGTTTGTATTAATTTAAAGAATGTTTTGGGATAAAAACAGTTCACCAAAATTTGTGGTGATGATTGTTATTCATTAGTTTTTAGTCTCAATTTTTATTTTTAGATTTTGTTTTAGATTTTGATTTTTGGTTTTTAGTTTTTAAGTTTCTATTTTTTATTTTCAGTTTTTTGGTTTGAGTTTCTAATTTTTAGACCCGCTGAGTTAGTTTGAACTGATATTATTACAAACAAATCCCAAATAATCGAACATCTAATTTAAAACTGAAAATAAGACAAAAAAATTTTAAAAGAAATTTACAATAGTTTATTTTCTAAATAAATAAAAGCAAAAAAAGATAACCTGTTTTTTTTTCAGTTTTTGGTTTTGGATTTTGGTTTTTAGATTTGGTTTTTGGTTTTGCTTTAAATTTTTTTTAAATGATTAAATTATTTAAGAGAAATAAAACAATAAATTATTTTAAAGTTACCATTGAAATTTATCAAAATAAAGTGATTGTTATTTAAAATAAAAAAAATATATTAGCATGTTTTAAAGTACATGATATAAATAAATGATTCATAATAGACAATTTTGTTTTGTTTAAAAATATTAAATACCTTTTGGGCTCGAAAATAATAACTGATTTTTTGATCTATTAAGATGGAAAGTTAATTCAATGTTTATTGGAGTTTTCTCTTAATACTAAGCCCAAAAACCATACCATATAGTTTGTTCTAAAAACAAAAGTAAGCCCAACACTATATCTCATAAATAACCATCGGTTTAATTTAAGTAATGCGGTTCAATTAACTATATGAGTTGTATTATTTGTAACACTCTAGAAAGAGTCCAAATTCAAAAAACCTAAACGCATCATGGTGCTTTCTTATCTATATTATAAATAGGAGAGTGTCGTCTCTTTCAAAACAAACGATAACTACCAAATCCCATATGTCTTCTAATATGCAAATCAGAAAAAATGATGGCTTCTAATCCGAAGGTTACTGGAAATCAACTTGGTTTGTGCATGTGAAGATGCTTCATACTACAACACACTAAGTTATCAGGCGAGACCATGGAAATCATCTTAGCTAATGAGAATGTAAGGCTAAAACTATCATCGTTCACTTTGTTTTTAATAATGTATATATCCTTTGTTCTAGCTATTTTCATTTGTATATGTAAAATGTAAAGGGACAAAAAAATTCATGAAACATGCAAATCAACTTACATTGAGAGTAAGGGACGGCTTCGTCTGGTTGGAAAATGGAGAAAAATCCAAAAATGTTATCTGACATGTGCAATATGATCATATCGATCAACAGACCATACATACAAGATGATGTTTGATTAAAACACAGCCATTACACAGTCTAATCACGTGAATGGTGATTTGTATCTAAGTTTGGTCGAGTTTCAGACTGTTTTTAGTGGATCACTTAATGACAGTTTCTTAGTTGTTGATTACAGCCGAGTCTTCATGTATTATATACTATAGAAACATGCTATAAACAAAAGGGGATTTTACCTTTTGTTTGTTATTTCGGAAGTGCTGTGATAGGTATTGTATTGTTATCAATAGATATAAGCTATCAATAGAAGGGGATTTATCGTTTAAGTAATCGAAAACAATGGTGATAACAATCTATCGTTTGTTGAACTTTTCTAAACATTAAGCGAAAACTCACAGTGTTTCTAAGAAGTATAGGAGAAGCTTTATAATCAGTTACCTTCGTTTCTTCAGATATCTTAAAGCCTTTGATATATGATAAGGATGATGTTCGTCGGTTCCTTTCAAAACAGTTCAGATATAAGAAACTCTTCATCTGCACGTTAGGAGCTATGAACAGAAAACCCTTTTTGTAAGGATCTGTGAACAAAAACACCCAAACTTTAACCCCCTTTGCAAGAGAAATCAAAACAAAATAATTTAAAGATGAGGAAACGTTATATGCCTTACGATTTCTTGATCTGAGGTCTGCTTTCTCGAATATATGTTGTAGAACTTTGATTTTCACCATTGATTTTTGATTTTGGAGTCATAGCTATTCGTTGGTCAAGAGAAGGCGATTTCTAGATCTCTTTGTTTTTTTTTTATTTTGTTTTTCTGTTTTTTTTATTTGGAAAAAGTGAACAGACACTTTTACATGCACGAACTAGGTGTTTCGTTGGAATGACTAATCCAATTAGTGTTGGATAGTTTTAAATCTTTTCAGTTAAACCAATATTATTGGATAATTTATATTGAATCCATCAAGAGCCATATTGTTTAATAAAATGTTAGATGTAAAATTTATAAATAAAACTACTTATGTGTTTACATTAATAATATATTAAACGTATTAGAAAAAAAATTATATATATATATATATATATATATATATATATATATATATATATCGTATTTCATTATTTTAAGAAATAATAAATGGCAACTTATTGATATTTAATTGGTATCAATTATTTTAAATTAATAAAAAATCATATTAAAAAATACTACACATATACAAAACACATTATATAACTTTAAAAACTATATATATATATATATATATATATGTGTGTGTTATAAAATAATATATTTTTAAAATAGTTAATCCCGCGCTTTCAAAGCGCGGATCAAAATCTAGTTAATCTATTATTTTTTAATTAGTCAAAGAAGGGTCACAAGGATAAATCATCCCTTTAATGAAACCTATTTTTGTGACTTTTGACCTTGAGTGCTAGTTTGAGGACAAAAACTTAGATTAGTGCTATTTTGAGTTTTATTTCTTATGAGTTTCTCTACGACTGCGTAGAAATAAAAATTTAACTTAATATTGTTGTATGTTATTTTATTTTTATTTTTTTTTGCGTTAAGACACGATTATTTTTTTGTTTCTTTTCATTTGATTTATATTTTAATTTGATTTGGTCTAAATTCAATAGAATTAAAATTACATTTCATAAAAGTAATTGTATTCTTTTTATTATTATACTTAATGATTATTTTAACATATGTCACTTATATATCATCAAGTTTTAAAATGTATATGTTTAATTATGTAAATTTTAGTAAATTTTTTGTTGTTCTTTAATTTAAATAGGTTAAAATGGTAAAATAAATTATCTAATTAAACCATTAAATTTAAATAAATTTTTAATCATTTAATTATCATAAAAATAGTTGATTAGCAATGCTTTAACTTGGTATTGGTTAAGATACACTTAGAATTAGTTTTGATAAAAACTATACTTGTACAAAATATGACGTAGAAGTTGACATATACTTTTTTTTTGTAATTGTATTTAGGTTAATTGATTTTTAATAGTGTATATATAATTATCATGATGTTATATGAGGTATAAATTTTCTTTTTTTTTTGTTTGACATCGACTAACAGATCATATGGACTCTGCGAATTAAACTGGTAGCTCTGTATCCATGTGAACAACGAAAGACGATTGTTTTCTCGCACTGCATGTTAGACTGTCTGCCCGTGAATTCAGTGTTCTTGGTACATAGATGATTTCCGAGATATGGAAACTCCCTTAGTCTTTTATATCTTTCAAATAATTTGCAAAGGCTGGTCATTCTTCTGGTTCCGAAACAATCTTCACCAACTGAGAACAATCTATTATAAACATAACGTGATATTGACGCAAATTTCTCATACTCTCCATTGCCCAAATAAGCGTTTCCACCTCAGAATGAAGAGGTGATAGGCTGGCTCTAACATTTCTTGCTCCCATTAAACCCACAAAAATTTCAAGGGTGCTATACCAACCATGTCCATCAAACACATCCTTCTCTTTCCATGAATCATCAATAAAACACCAACGCCCTGGTATGGACGGTATAGCCGCGACTACCCCTGGCTGTGTTACACTCTGAGATACTCTCATTTGGGCCTCCTCCTAGAGAGTAGATTCTGTCTCCGCCAATGTGAGTGTGTCATTTGGATCAACTTCCCAATTACTAAAAGTTTTACTATTTTGCCCTTTCCAAATGTACCACAATATCCATGCCAAGTGATAATCATCCATCTTAGGAATAACCCGCCAAAATAAATGGTCCATATTCGTAAACAGAGACACTGCAGGGAAGTTACCGGGTTCAAAGGGATCTTGGATAATGCCCAAACTTGGCGTGCTGATGGACTTTCAAAGAAAACATGGTTAACCGATTCTTCTGCAGCGGCACATCTGTCACAACATATATCACCATTTATCCCTATTGCCTCCATATTTTTCTTAACAGCAATTTGCCTCCATATTTTTCTTAACAGCAATACAACCTGATAGCAATTGCCATAGGAAATGTTTTATCTTAGGAGGATACCGTACTTTCCAGCAAAATGCTTTTAAAGCATCCACTGTAGGTCCCTGAATCTCAGTCGGCCTTCCTCTATCCGGGTACACCCTTTCAACTTGATATCCTGACTTAACTGTGTATTTTCCGTTCTTGGTGAAATGCCATCCATCCATATCTTCCAATTATGTCCTACTAAGTGGAATGCTTTCTATTATTTTCGCATCTTGGGGGTCTTCTAGGGCTCGAATAGCTGGCATATTCCAAGTCTGTTTATCTGTATTGATGAGAGAATCCATTGTGAGTTCCAGATAAAAGTTATGGTTGTTTTTATTTGTTGGTCTCGGCGAGTGGTTGGGAGCCATGGGTAATTCCATACTGAGATAAATGATCCTTATCCCACCCGTTTGATAAGTCATTTGCTAACCAGAGATCTAGTTGAGATCATACTCCTCCAGCCATATGATGGAGAATATGATCGAATCGTATCTAGAGGTGACACATTCCTATAGTACCGACCTTTGAAAACACGAGTAAACAAGGTATTTGGTTTCTCAATAAGGCACCATAGTTGTTTGCCTAGCATTGTCGTCGTGAAATCCTCAAGGTCCTTAAAACCCAAGCCTCCTTCATCCTTATCTAGCATAATTTATCCCATGATTTCCAATGCATTCCTCTTGTGCTTCCCCAGGGCTCCACCAAAATTGTGGTACCACACTCGTTAGTTTCTTTGTGGTTGCCTTAGGTAACCTATAGCAGGATATCACATGATTTGGCAACGCCGTAACCACTGATTTGATAATCACTTCTTTCTCTCCCTTCGTAAAAAACCTAAAGGTCCATCTATTGACCTTTCTGTTTAATCTTTCTTGTACAAATCCATGTACTTGTATCTTAGACCCGTGTGGACTCTCTAGTAGGCCTAGATATGATCCCATACCTCATATATTATAAATTCCTAGTATTTCCCTTAACTCTTGTTTGTTCTCTTCCCCAATCATATGGCCAAACTGAATTGAAGACTTTTAGAAATTTATTAATTGAACTGAAACAGCCTCATATTCCTTAAGTATGGTGAGTATGGTTTGACACTCCTCCGGTTGCGCCTTGCAAAAGAAATGACTATCATCCGCAAAAAGAAGATGAGAAATTGCTGGATACGCTCTAGTAACCGTCATCCCTGTTAATCGCTTCTGTCACTCCGCCTTTAATATTGGTAATTAAAACCTCCGTACACATAATAAATAGATAAGGAGACAAAGGATCCCCTTGTCTTAAACCTCTCTGCGGGATAATGGGACAATTATTCGATACTTGACAAACGATATACATTCCATCATAAGCTTTGTCCAATGAGGGTCGAACCCCATCTTTTGGAGCAAAGCTTGATTAAAATCCCATTCCACTCTATCATACGCTTTACTCATTTCTGTTTTATCGCCATAAACTTTCCCTGGCAAGAATTATTTGGCTCTTAAGCCATGAAACATCTCCTGAACAATTAGGATATTATCCGAAATTAAGATCAACACTATGTCACGTGGTTAAAATCTCAGGTAATATAATCCACTCATATATTAAGTAAATGGTGAACGGTATAATATCAAATGTTTATGTTATAATTTTTTGGAGGTTAAAGAAGACGATCCATATTATCCCGCATGGTTATACAATTTGGTCCGAGGTCCCGTATCAAAATTCACCACATGATCAATGTGTTTTACACGAGATTTTACCTTTCATACATACGACTATGGAAGTCACCTGGCAACAAGTAACTACGGAATATGTGTGAAAAGTAAAATAGACTTTTATGGGATTTTGCAGGAGATTATTGAAGTGGAATTTTCGGGGTTATTGAAGCTGAAATATGTCCTCTTCAAATGTGACTGGTTCGACCCTGTTGTGAACAGAGGTGTTCGCTTTAACAAATTTGGTTATGTGGATGTCAACTCTGTAAGAAGATACAACAAATTCGAGCGTATCATCTTAGCTTCCCAAGCCGAGCAAGTAAGCTTCATCCCGTATCCTCGCCTTAGAAATTAAGTACTTGTTAGTTTTTATCAAGATTACACCTCGTGGGCGAATAATTGCCGGAGAAGAACCACCTTTGCAAGTAGAAGTACCTGATCAAGGAACTGATCATATCCTTCGTATTGATCCCAATAACCGTCAATATGAAGATCTTCCCGATGATGGCATAGACGAAGCAGGCGAAGATGAGTTTGATGTGAGTGATGATGTTTCTGTTCATGTTGATGAGAACTCGAATGATTCTGAATGATGTAAAATGTGTACCAAGTGTTGTGTTTCTTATGTAAAATGTGTACCAAATGTTGTTTAATAAAACTATTATTCATTTTGGTTTAAAACATTTGATTAAGAGTAGGGTTTAGAAAAATTGGATAAAGAGGATGAATGTGTAAAAGAGTTAAAGAGAAGAATAAGAAGAGATGATGTTGTAAGATAAGTAACTTTGGGGTTTACGGATTTGATTTTCGAGGATTCATATTTTCCACGTAAATTCGTTGTAAAGAATGTGGGAATAGTACTTTCGTCGTAAAGTCAGCTTAGCAATTTCTTCATAAAGCCCTCCACGTAATTTGGTTGTAAAAAACACAGGCCTGGTTACTTCGTCGTAATGCAAAATGAGTAACTTTGTCGTAAAAAAACGGCAGGAATGGTACTTTCGTCGTAAACGAGGCCACGTAATGTCGTCGTAAAAAACGCGGGCCTGATACTTTTGTCGTAATTTTACGTGGACCATACGATGAAAACCAATTCTCTATATAACCCACAACGAGGATTGCATAGTGCATTCCTCTCCACTTCCTCTCTCTCGATGTAAGTCCCTCTCTCTCTCTCTTTTTTTTAGTTTAGTTTAGGTAGTTAATTAGGTGGATAATTTATGTGGTTAGCTAGGGGAATTAGTCTAAATGATTAGTTTAGATATTTAGTTTAAGATAATCAAGATGATGAGATTTTTATTTTATTTCATTGTGGATGACTCCTAGAGTTAGACCAGTTATCCGTCCCACTTATGCTGAGATGTTTGGCGATGGTCTCGGGACATCTTCTACCGGACCGTCGTCATCCGAGGCTGTTCCTGACTCTCAGACGTATTATCCCGCCAATGAGATTTCCTATCAAATGCCTCCACCTCCTGCCCCAGCACCCCCACCTCCTCCTCCACATGATCCCGCTCCAGCTGCTGGTGAGCATCTTCATCCAGATTTCGGGTATCTTCATCTGCACCTTACGCTACATATACTGTGGAGGATCTTCTTCGCCAACCAGACCGAGAGGGTTTAGAAATTCTGGATCCTGATCGACTACCGGGTATGTTTTGGTAATTTTTTTAAAAATTCTACATTTTAATTAGTTTTTTTTTTTAACAAATTGGGTATTATATATTTTCAGGATTGGAGCCAACAACCGTGTCAGCCGGAGTGTTTCTGACACGATAAAGGGATATTTTCTCGACGTCCATCTGAACTGGATGATGACTCCACAACACGTTAGGAGAACGTGGTTTAAAATGTTTGCGGTAACTAGTACTAAATTTTTAATTATTAAATATTAAATATTAAATTATTTATTTTAATATGGTGCAAACTTTTTTTCCAGCAAAAGTGGCACTGGAACATATCTCTCACCAAGAAGGTGAAGGTGGAATTTGAAGCAAAGGAAAAACTCCAACTTTACAACACCGTCTCGGATCGGAAGGACAAGTGGGAATACCACAGTTATAAAGCAAAGCCCACCGAGATTTCGAAGCATGTATGGGATGGTCTCATCGCCTTTTGGAGCCTTCCTGAGTCAATCAAGAAGTCTAACTCGTGCTGTACATCCATGAGAACGAAGAATAAAAACGGTAATGACCCCATGCTTCATAGAACCGAGCAAAAAACTCATGCCGGGATCCGTCTAGATGCTGTAAGTTTTATTTTAAATGTTTAATTTAATTCTTTTAATTTATTTATTAACGAAATTTCTTTTTAAAAAATAAATTTTATTGTGTAGTACGAGATGACATGAGTTGTAACATCTTTGGGTGAACATTTCAAGATGACTCACGCCACATCTGACGAAGTATTTGTTGATCCAGCGTCGGATAAACTCTATAACGATGTGGCTGCTCGGGTTGAAGAGCGGGAGACACAGTTAATCCAAGAGGCTCCCAGTTATTTACTTGTCAAATTGACTACGGAAGAAGGGGTACCGTATTTTTGAAGAGATAAATTTTAAAATAAATTTTACTTTTTTTATATTCTTTTATATAATATAGTTAAATATTAATAATGTATATATATTGTTTTGGTAAAGGTGGCCTAGGAAGAATGGACGGGTAGTGGGAATAAGCTCGGTCAACGAAGTCCCAAGAGCGACTTCGTCATACGTTTCGAGACGGGATGAGGAAGCTTCTCAGATGCGGTCTCAAATGGCTTCTCAACAGGCTCGCATAGATTCACTTGAAGATCTCATTCTTCTCTTTACGGGGGAATCCGACTATGCTGCGAGTGTTGAATGAGAGACGAGCGGCTCTCGGGATGCAGAAACATCCAATGGGTCCGGAAAGCACCGGCCATGACTACTTCGGCCACAATGACGCTCTATAGTTTTTTTTTATTTTGTTTTGTTTTCGTAATATAGATTTAAATATTATTTTATGACATTTATATTAAGGTTCTCTTATAACAATTAAAATTTTTAAATATTTCGTTTTATAATTTATATATTTATATTTTGAATATTATAAATAATAATAATATGAAATATATAAATATTATATATATATATATATATATATATATTATATACAAACTAAGGCCGTTGTAAATATACATGGAATTTACATCGAATGACATTATAATTCGTCGTAAAACATTACAACGAATTTACAAAGACGATACGTAAATTCTTCGTAACTTTTACATATATCTAACGAGTACTTACGACGAATAATAACAATGACTTAACGAGGAATATTAACGTGGACTTTACGATGAAGGTTAACAAGGTCTTTACAATGAAAGCTAACGAGTCTTTTACGACGAATCTATCTCTTCTCTTTTACTCACGTTTTCGTCGTAAAGTAACATAGCATTTACCGTCAAATATTGCATTACGAAGGGTGTTTTACAACGAAACGTGATTCCTAGTAATAGAGGTGTTACGACAAATTTATAAGAAAACAACACTCGTAAAAATTGTTTTCCTGTAGTGAAATATCCGCATATATGTGTAAGTGAAAATCTAGTTCATTCTTACGAAGGATGAGTTAATCAAGTACTTCAAATTTAATAAGATAGATTTTGTTTCATCATTTTAACAAAATAGATTATGAGAAATTCTTAGAAATACCACAAATTGAGTTTAAATTTCAGTGATTATTGTTTAATGTTAGAGTTGGGTTTATAAGTGTTCTATAAATATTTAAAAATTAGTTTAATGCTATGATAACCTACGTTACACGGAAGCTTCATCCGACTTGCGTTTCCCGCTTCAGAATCGGAATCGGAATCGGAATCTTGTGGAATCTTGCGGAATCTTGATTCTAAAATGCTTCTAAAATAACCTATATAAAAACACGTTGGAAGCTTACGATTCCAGTTAGGAATCATGCTTCCGATTTTTAAAATACAATATCATATATACATGAAATATGAAATCATTTTTATGTTTTATAGTATATAATAGTATATATAGTGAGGCTATATATATGTAAATACTAAAATTAATACTATAAGTCATATGTATGCATTTTTTATTAGAGATATATATATATGTTCAAATATGTTGTGCCAATTATTTGTAAAATGTTAAAACTAACTAATTGGTAATATTTGTTTATAAACTTAATTTATCCATATTTTCATAATTGTAATATGCAATCATTTAAAATTATAATAAATGAATAAAGCTTTATTTTAAATTGAATCATATAATTGTTAGTTATAAAATTTTTATATATATATATATGGATATACGCTTCCAACACGTATCCGCTTCCTAATATTATTAAAAATCGCGATTATGCGCTTCCATACGATTATGTTTCCGCGCACCCACTCCCGTTTCCATGTAACATAGATGATAACAAATTTAGGGTATCTGTAAAAATAGTTCTTCGTTAATGATAAATTTGAAAATGATAAATTTGAAAAGTAATACCAAACTTGTTGTACAATTAAAATTTCCCCATAGATTATACTAAATTCAGTATATTATATATTTATCATATATCTTAATTTCAGAAAGCTGGTTGCTCCAGCTGTAATCACAGTGAACGGGGCTATTCTCAGTTTAAGCATTTTGTTCCCGATATATTTAAGTAACCATGTTCAGCCCTATCAAAACTTGTTGACACTTGACTGCTTGAGAGGAGAAATGACTCTCCGAATTGTGAATCTGTATGAAACTAAGCTACGTGAGAGACGAGAAGACAAGGCAGTGTACGCGGATGAGAGAAGACTGTGTGAAGAGAACACAGAGAAACGACACAACACTGTATTTATTGTTGTCTGACTGCTCCCAAGGCAACAAAGCTCAATTGAACCTATGCAAAATCCTAAAAACAGTCAAAAGAGATGGCAAGTGAAAGATGTACATATCTAAGTAGTGAATAGTAATAGAGCAAATACACATCGATTTCCTCAGTCAGATCACATTTTCAAGTAAACAAAATGCACTTCATCCAAAAATGTTTTCCATACCTAAATACACCACAAGCATCACTGCAATTTCAATACAAAGGCAGTAAAACGCAATGCGGACAGGAGCAAAAAAAACAGGTCTAACTAACTAAATGACCCTATTTCAAAAACATTCTGAGAGGAAAACTGAACTAAAATGTCCCCAAAAGAGACAGTATCATTCATAACAGATCACAGAAAGACAAAATATGATTTCACCACAAGAGACAATAAAACAGAATTCAGACATCAACAGCTAAGCTGACAACTTAATGTAACTACACTATTTCAAAATTGTGACAGGATGAGTGAAACCTAAACAAGTGCTACAATGTCCCCTGAAGAGACAGTATAACTGCAAGTATATACTTCTTAGCAGATCAAAGAAAGACCACATAAGATTTCACCACAAGCATTAAACTGTAGATACGATTCAGTGACAGCATAATGCGATTCAGACACAAGACAAGCTCAGGCCTAACAAAGAACTACAACGTCCCTAAAAGCTATATTTAAATTTGCAAGTACACTTCTTAACCAATCATATAAAGACCAAATATGGTACAAGAAACATTAAACTTGCAATTTTCAGCACGAAAAGACAGTATTGTTGGATTCAGACAAGAGCAAAGCTCAAGTCTAAGTTAACCCACATTTTGAGAGATTTAAAGAAAATGTATAAAGTCAACAATAAGACCAAAATACAAACGAAAAGGATCACTTCTTAGCAGATCCTTTGCCTCCACCAGAACCTGCAGCTGCTGCAGCTTGAGCAGCCTTCTTTGCTGCCTTCTCTTGCAATGCTTTTCCATCTCTAAATCAAAAACAAATCAAAACTAATTCAATCCATAAAAACATAATTCAATCAAAAGACGACTCTTCGCACCTTTCACGGCGTTGCTCAGGTGTCAATCCGTCGTCAGCATTCTTTCCCTTACCTCCAGCACGAGCTGCCGCTCTTTCACGGTCACGCTCTCTCTGACTTCCACGTGCAGTTTCGCATCAAATCAATAAAAGCTTGAATCAAAGAAAACATAAGAGTTTTGGATTTATAATTGTCAGAAACAATCGTATAAGATCTAAGCAAGATTCGGGAAGCAGTTCACAAGGTTTAATCAAAAGGATAATTTGAGAAGAAATCCGTAAATTTCGTGTACAAAAAAAAACCCTAATTAATAAATTTTATCGAAGAAAACGCTAAATTTTGTTACACAAAACCCTTCAACGAGCGTAAGGATTCATAGATCGAAACACAGAATCTATAAACGACAATTAAAAAAGCGACTGAAGGAAGAGAATCAAAGGATATGAGTCATGGTGAATCCGCGTAAGGACGAAGCGATCCGGTCAGGGCAGAAGAAACGCAGCGAATGGGTTAAGAGCGCTTTGACGAAAAGATTTGGAATTTATAAAGAGGGAAATATCTCTTTGAGTCAAGTCGATTTCGTCGTGCGCCTCTCCTTTTCAATATTCTCTAATTTCTTGCTTTTTTTTTGTAAATTGAATTTTTCTTTTGGTAAAAAAGTACATTATTACCATTTTTTAATTTGTGATTGTAATTGTGACTGAGATATATAGACAACAAGTTGCAGAATGCGAAATAAAGTTAAATATAAAACTAAAATCAAGGTGGAGATTTGTCTGATTATGGTTTACTATTTCCGGATTATATTTGGGTTGAATGTTGAAGGATTAGACTGAGACGGGTAAACATGGAGGTCCAGTAGGAATGTGCATCATTCATATAAGCCTGAGGTTAATAAAACTCTGCATATTGGCTAAACACACTTAGTGTGTGTGAGTTTTTGCCATGTGAAGTTTGTTGCAGATTCCGTGAGCTGGAAACTGCTAGGAATCGAGTGAATCAAGCCGTGATTCAGTGCAAGAGAGCAGAGTATATAAGGGAAAGAATGCAGAAGAAGAAGGACGACGTAATACCTGAGTCTTTTACTCTTAGTTCATTGTATAGCTTTCTGGTGAGAGACGTGAGCTTGTGAGAGGTGTGATCTCGGTGAGTGTCTCGATTAGGTGTTGATTACTTTCGTCTTTGTATCCTTGATCCCCGAGACGTACCTTGGGCTTGTTAACGTCCTTGGGAACTCTAAATCTCCCGTGTGTTTTATATTCTGCAAACATAAACAAACACAAACCTAAAACAATTGCAATCATCGAAGATGAGTTAGATAACGTGAAATACAAGTTAAAACCACTACATGTGGTATTAGAGCTATGTTACGGCGCAAGGAGTTTTAGATCTAGGTGATCGTTTCTAACTCTTAGATCAGATCAGATCAGATCAAGGAATCTCTTACTAATCGTTCTGGTGTTAGGGTCGCCACTAATAGATCTTAACATCTGTGGTTATTCTCTGTTTGTTCTCGTTGGTTTGTCATCTAGATTTCTTGGTTTTCTTGTTTTCTAGTGTTCTCTCGGGTATTCTCGACGGATCTATCTGCTGTGGGTTGTCTTGTCTTCTTTGATCTCAGGTTCTGATCAAGCAATGGGGTTACCTAAGATGGAATCTACACATGGGAGGTTTGAGGTTGAAAAGTTTGAAGAAGAGGGAAATTTTGCTTTGTGGAAACATAAAGTTGTGGCTTAACTTGAGATTCTTGGTTTAGACTCAGTGTTGAGGCCAGAAGAAGAAGAATAGGAGAAGGATGTCAAAGGGAAATGGATCGTTGATGATGATCTGGATGCAAAGTCAAATCTTGAGACTACTAGACTTGATAAAGATAAGAGGGTACGAAACTTGCTAAGTCTAAGCCTAAGTGACATGGTTCTGAGGAAGGTCATAAAGGCTAAAACTGCTATGAGATGTGGGATGCTCTTGAATCCACATACCAGATCAAGTCTCTACCTAATCGATTCTATCTCAAACAACGGTTCTACAGTTATGATATACCATGATTTTGACCTGCTTTTAGCCATGGTATTGATATGTTTTTATGAGTTTTATATATGTTTTGGAGTCTATTAGGTATGTTTTCAGGTTCATGAGCATTTTGGAGTAAAGTGATGATTTAGGTCCCCTTTTGAAGCTTAAAGGAGAGTTTTCCGAGATGACTATGAAGATCAGACAATAAGGATACATATTGATCGATACACACCTTGTGTAATCGATCGATGACGCTTCTATTGAAGATGAAGTCGAGATACTCCATCGATTGATGTATGCCATGTACCATCGGTCGATATGATGCGTGGAGAACAAGTCCAACTTGGCCGACTTGAAGCCCAAGTCTTCCCAATATTACAATAATGCCCTGACGAATTTTTAACCTAATGGAACTCTTATTTATATTTTTTGCCATTGTGTTTGGCTAGACATGCTTTTCATGCTTTTTGAATGTTTCTATTGTTCTAGTTCCTTTTGTACTTGAAAAGATTTGCATACTTTTCTTGTTACTTTGTTCTATTCTATAAAGTATTTATTTTCATCTTAATTTCTTAAAGGTTATAAAATTCTAGATTTAGAGGAAACACACAAAGAGATTTGTTGTTCGAAGAACCAAAAGTTCAATCCTCTAATCTATGAGTTTCTATTATTACCTAGCTGTTATGAATCTCTCAGCTATGTCTGAGTAGATCTCTTTGTTAGATTTAAGGTTCAAATAGTTATGAGGGATTAGCCACAACTATGGAATGTTGAATTGTTGATATTCATTATCCAAATGAACCATAATGCTTACTCTAGATTAGCTTCCTAGAGTATGATCATGTATGTGATTTAACTTGTTAATCATTGTCCTGAATTCATTTGGCATGAGCTTAGATCCTCTAGGGTTGTGCGAGAGTCGGTCTATGATCTTGGTGAACACAGTTTTGATTCGATCTTATGCTATATCGATCGATACTCCTATAAAGTTATCGATCGACGGCAACCTATATCGTCCGATCTGGCGATCGTACCATCGGTCGATATTGTCGGCAATAAGATCAATGGATGTGTCTATTTAGCGACTGCTATTAGATCTGTCTAAGAATCAAAGTTCTCATATATCTTGCAAGCAATTCATTAAAACATCTATAGCATTATAATCCTAATTATCTGAATAGTAACTTTGAATCTAACTACTTTCTTTTATTGTTTTAAACCTAAAAACCCATTCTCTTAAGCAACTTATCATTGCTTACAAAACTGCAATTTACTATTTCAAACCTAATAAACCTAGCATAATCATTTGGGATTACATCTATTGAGTTCCTTAGTTCCCTGTGGATTCGATCCCTAAGTACTACAACTGAACCTCTTATTTGCGAGAGTAATTCACTTCTTAAGGGTAAACATTTGAGTGATATCAAGTTACAAGATGGATGATGATAAGAACATGGATAAGAATCTTGATATTTTTACGAAGCTGGTGTCTGATCTAGCAAATCTTGATGTGGAGCTGAGTGAGGAGGATCATGCTGTTATACTTCAAAACAGCTTACCTAAAAAGTTTGAGCCTTTATTTCATATTTTGAAATATGGAAGAGACCAAGACACAATAACTATGAAGGAGATTACAAGAGCTGTTTACTCTTATGAACTAGACATGAAGACGAAAGGCAGCTCTGGATCGTTTGGTACGAGCAGTGACGGTCTATATTTCCAATCAAGAGGCAGACCTGAAAAGAAGAATACATCAACACTGAAGTCAAGTAGCAGAAGAAAGTCAAGACCAAAGTTTAAAAGGACTTGTTGGGTATGTGGTTCTGAAGGTCATCTTAAGAAAGACTGTTCCAAGAGATCGAATCCAAACAATTCTTTCAAAGGAGAAGCGAGTGTTGGCAAGGCTCAGGATGACAAACCCATGATGCTGACTGCATCAAGCCAACATAATCGAGAAGGATGGGTCTTGGATTCAGGGTGTTCCTATCACACGACTTACATGAAAGACTTAATGTTTGATGTAGAAGAAGTTAACAGAGGAAATATCTTGATGGGAAATGATACCTATTGTGAGATCACAGCTATTGGAAAGGTCAAATTCCTAAATCACAACAAGGTTGTGGTAGTATTAACAGATGTCAGATATTCAGAAACAGCTCGAAGAAACCTGATATCTCTGGGTCAGCTTGAGTCACTTGGTTGCTGGTTTCAATCTAAGAACTACAGATTAAATATGTTCAACGAGAGTAACGAGATAGCAGCTGATTACTATGACACTCTGTATTTTCTAGATGGAACTCCTATTGGGGAGGAAGCTAATACTGCTGAAACTAATATAGAAGAAACAAGTTTGTGGCATAGCAGACTGGACCATATGAGTGTTAAGGGTATGAAACAGTTGGTGAAGTCGGGTTTCCTTAAAGGAGTTGAAATTGCTGAGAAATAGAGTTGTGAACATTGTGTTATGGGGAAGTTACACAATATATCGTTTAAAAAAGGAAGGCATAATTCAGAGCAACCATTAGCTTATGTCCACTCTGATTTAGGGGGCTCATCTAATGTGACACCAAGCCTATCTAAATGTCAATACTACATTACTTTTGTAGATGACGTCTCGAGGAAGGTTTGGCTTTATTTCCTGAAGACAAAGGATGAAGTTTTTTCTAAGTTTGTTGAATGGTTAGCTCTGGTGGAAAATCAAAGTGGGAAAACTCTTAAAGCTCTAAGGACAGACAATGGGTTAGAGTATTGTAACAAAGTGTTTGATGACTTTTGCAAGAAGAATGGTATTCTAAGGCATAAAACATGTCTGTATACTCCTCAGAAAAACGGGATTTCTGAGAGACTTAAAATGACTATATTTGAGAAAGTTAAGAGCTTGTTAAATGAAACTGGGTTAAATGAACCATTCTGGGCCAAAACTTCATCTACAGTGGTATATATGATCAACCAAACTCCATATATACCTCTGGAGTTAAAGGTACCAGGTTAAGTCTGGTCAGGCAGAGTACCTGAGTATGATCATATGAGAAGGTTTGGGTGTCTAACCTATTATCATGTGGGTTAAGGGAAACTTAAAACTAGGGCTAAGAAGGGAGTATTTATCGATTATCCTCAAGGAGTCAAGAGTTATCGTATATGAAGTATTGAAGATGAGACAATAGTAATAAGTCGAAATGTCTCACTCCATGAGGACATGGTATATAAAGACATAATTACTACTACTCTAAGTGATAATAATTCTGAAAATAGAGAGAAGAAGGTTACATTCTCACTTGATTCAGATGTCGAGAGTGAGAACAAGTCTGAGTCTTCTCTTCAAGGTGGAGCAACTTCAAGTTCAAGCAAGGATGGTGGCTCTGAAAGTGAATCTGAAAAAGAAGATACAACAATAGGTCAAAAGTCATACTTATTGGCTAGATACAGATAGAGAAGAATTATAAAACCTCCAAGTCTTTTTGATGATGGAGATGTTGCTGCATATGCTCTAGTCATGGCT